GGGCTAGCTGGCCGCCCGCCAGGGGACATGGGGAGCGGAGTCGGCAGCCGTCCCGTGGTGGGCTGGAGCTCCTGACTCTGCTCCTCCACACAGCCAGACGCTCAGATTCCACAACAGCCCGGTGGTAAGTGTCCCAGAAGGAGCCCCGCTCTGGGTGGGCCTGGCCTCCCACGTGGCTCTCCTAGGCGGGTCCCCTAGGTGGCCTCCCCACAGGCCAGCCGGGGTTAGGGTTAGGGTCAGACTGGCAGACGCAGACACTGGGGAGCCTGCCACTTTCTTGAAAGGACAGGTGTACCTGTGAACAGCCCCTGGAGGTGGGACGTCTGTCTCAGGCAGAGACACGCACCGCCCAAGAGGGAGCCTTGCTCTGGCACCCAGGACGCGGGTCGTGTCCGGTGCTCCACGGTCCTAGTGCCACCAAAAGCTCTTAGGCAAGGCCGTCAGATGAGCTCCACGTAGGCGAGCTGGTCCGTTTTTGTCGGCAGGTTTTACAGTTTTGATTTCGTGAAGGTAAGGAGCAGAGGGAGTCAGCATTGAAAACTGGCTCGAGTAAGGACAAGCCCAGCTCGGGGGCTTCCTTCGCCCCGGGGACAGCGCCTCCCACGATGGAAGGTTGGCCGCCTCGTGTTCAGGGGCGCAGAAAACAGCACGCTGAGTCCCTGTGGCCTGGGCGCGGGGCGGTGACCTGCCCCGTTGCCCTGGGAGACGCCGGTGGCCTGGAGGGCCTGAGCGAGCCCCATCTGCAGGGCACAGCGCCTTCTCAGATGACGAGGTTGTTGCCCGGTTTGTCGTCCCCGGTGTGTTTGGACTTTGAAGACACCTGGGGTGGCAGCACCCCCTTAACGACACCGGGGGCTGCGGTGCGCCCTCACTGGGGCAGAAAGCGGGCCAATGTGCCTCCCGCTTCCTTGCTGTGGGAAACCAGGCTCCCCGGTCCCCCTTCTTCTGGAGACAGCCTTTTGTTCATTGACCACATGCTCTGTGCAGCATCTGCAGGCCATTGCCCACCCCCGACCTGGACCTGGAGTTGGGTGTGGACCCTTCCCCCATGCCCCACGCCTGCTGCCCGCTGCAGCTCTGGTGCCACCGGACTGGCTCAGGCAGGGCCGCAGGCCTGGTCCCCAAGGCCCCCCTCTCTCAAGCTCCGCCGCCTCCCATCTGCCCTGTGCGCCGTTATCGGTAACTGGAGCCGGGAGCTGCGTCCACGCCTGAAACAGGAAGCTGGGCCTGTGCACAGGCCCGAGAGCCGGCCGCTCGGCTGGGCCTGAGGATGGAGCAGCGGGCGCTCTCGGCTGCCATGGACGGGGACCTGGCCGCCTTGGAACAGCTGCTGGAGGCTGGCGCCCTGGGCCCAGGCATCATCGATGCCCTGGGTGCTGGCCTGGTGCACCACGCCACCCGGGCTGGCCACCTGGCCTGCGTCAAGTTCCTGGTGCAGCGGGCCAAGCTGCCAGGCAACCAGCGGGCCCACAACGGGGCCACCCCGGTGCACGATGCCGCCGCCACCGGCAGCCTGGCTGAGCTGTGCTGGCTGGTGCGTGAAGGGGGCTGCGGCCTGCAGGTAAGCCGGGCCGGCAGCGCGGAGGGTGGAGTCCGTGTGGATGGAGGGGGCCGTGGGCCACGAGCTGGCACGTCACGACCTGTGTTAATTTAAATGTGTCAGGTTCTCATTAAATTTACATTCATCGGTTTATCGTTTTCATCTCTGCCTGTGGGAGAAGGCGGGAGTAACTTCTAGCAGCTCCCAGGTGTCTATGTGTAGAAAAATTCCACCCTGGACTCTCCCTCAGGGCCTCACCACGCCAACCCCACAGGCAGTCTGTGCCGTGGTCTCTGACCCCGCCCTGCCCCAAGCAACACAAAACACAGGTATAGATTTGCCTGTTGTTACCAGGACAAGTTAGGAGGCGAGGTGGCTGATCAGACCCTGGGTGTCTCACCAGGCAGTTGGCCAGAAACAGCATCTTGAGGCCAGTCGGGGGGTTGGGGGGACAGTGCCTGCGTCTCTGCAGCCGGGAGAGGGGAGGCCCTCAGTCTGGATGCCGCTGTGGTTTCTCACCCGCGCTGAGGGGCCTGTGCGCTGGGCTCCGTCAGGTGCCACAAGGGTGGGGGGTGGGGGCCTGGGGGCCTGCAGCAGAGAAGAGGCCCGAGGCAGGGCAGGTCGGCCCCCTTGCACCCTCCTCAGGCCACGTGCTCCGTCTCCTCAGGCCGCCTGGTGTTGGCGCAGTGCAGGACGCTGCTGGCCAGCGTGGGAGCCGCGTGCCACTCGGACCATGGGGACCGGTGAGTACTCTCCAGGGCACGTCCGTGCTCCAGGCAGTGGGCCTGGCCTTCACGGAGCTGAGCAGCCTGGTGGGGACATAGAAAGTGACCAGACAGCTCAGGGCCAGGGGCCAGTCACGTAGAAAGCCTCTGTGGGCCCTGGAGTTGGGGGTGGAAGCTGCGGCCTAACGCAGGGCTGCACTCAGCCAGGATGGGACCAGCAGCGTCGGGCAGGGCTGGGGGCGGGCAGGGCTGGAGCAGCAGGGTCACTTTGTCCCCAGGAAGGCGGGGCTCCCGCGGGGATGTGACACAGCAGGATGCAGGGAGGGCCGTGGGGTAGCAGGCCCCGGGTGGCGGTGGTGGGCGCACACCAGGTGGAGGCACAGGCATCGGGCACCTGGAGCAGAGACTGGCTCCATGTACGGAAGGTGGCAGCAGAGCTGGGTGAGGCAGCCTGGCTTCCGGAGAGCAGAGACACACACGTGACCAGTGACAGGCTGTCCAGGGCCGGCTGGGACTCTGCTGAGCACGTGTGGCCTGGGTGGGGCAGTGCCCGGCAGCGGTAGCGCCGTGCAGGGGCGGGAGGGGCCCGGGGCCTGACAGCACAGCCGGAGTCCCCGTCAGGAGCCCCAAGGCCAGGCCAGTCGCAGTGCAGAGGGGGACGCATGGGGGCTGTCCCTTCCCAGGGGAACTGAATGGCCCATTCGCCGAGAAGTGGGCAGAGCGGTCGACCTGGCAGGTGCCGTCTGCAGCCAACTGCCACAGGGGGAGGGGAG